TGTGAGAATTTTAATATCTCTTTATTTTTTTCCCAGATAGATATAAACTGCCAACCCCACCCCCCCCAAATTAAATTTTAAACCCCCATGAAAATAAAAGTGGCAAAATAAAGAAAACCAAATAAATAAGGAAAATATCTTCTTGTAACATAAGGCATTTAACAGAAATTGTGCAAAAAGTTGTGCTTGGGTTCAGGGATGCTGGACAGCAAAGGGTTGCAATTCTTTTTATTTTGAACTTGTCACAAGCAAAGGGCAGTGGTGGGTCAGCCTCAAGAAATACCTTTGTTATTTCCTCTGAATTTATTAAGTGTTGTGGACACTTCAGCAACCCAGCTGCCGCTGCTGCCTGTCCAAGGTAGATGCTAGTGCAATTCTGTTAATAAAGCTTGCCAATGATTGGTAAGTCTGATGGAGTTATTAAAAAAAAAAATAAAATCATCAGTCCAGTGAAAATTATCTCCAGAGTATATTCATTTAGTTATTTAATTGGAATTTGGTGCAGGCATTCAGCCTCAGGCATTAAAGGACACCAGAGTCAGAACTGTGAGCAGAAGGTTGTGCTTAGCTGCTTAATTCAGCTTGATACCAATGAAAAACTGTGGGCTGCTCTGGCAAGGCATGGGGAGAAAGTAATGAAAACAAGAAAAATCGTGTTTTCTACCCATACCCTGCAAACCCAAATAAGATTTTTTTTTAGTCTCAGTCTACAAAACATGGGTATTTGTCATTAACAACTGGAAAATCAATCTACTTGTTGGTTGTGGGACCCAGAAACAAAATAATGTTTGTTAATACTCAATTATAAATATTTTTCTAGTATGTTCTGGGGAAGGAGGACTACAGACTTGAATTATCTGCTTCATATTCCAAAATAAGAACAGAAGGATAAGCAGGACACCAAAGCACAGGAAATTCAGCATACAAACAAACAAACATCAACTTTATTTCTGAGTTTTGCTTTAACCTCAATGCTGGCTAAATAGGTTGCATGGTAACGCTGGGAACAGCATGCTGGCAGGAACCCCCAGAGCCCATACAATTTTTTTACCAAAAAAGGTATATGTATTTCAAACCAAATTGCTATGGATCCATTCTCTTTCCATTAAAATCAAACACCTTCTCAAGTGCCACTTCAGAAGAGCTGTTCAGGGATGTGCTGTTTCTTTTGAGTTATGAATACTTGCAGCTACGTGGTCTGGATATACGTGGTGTAATTCAGTCACTGTCCTCTCCCAGTACAGCTCACACTGCAGGGGATTTTAGCATGATCTTGCAAACAACATGTTTGGTTGGTGCTGAGATTGTTGGTTGAGTGCATACTACTGAGTGAACAAGTACCTACTATATGGTTGAGTGGTGACAGACACACTAGGAAGAAATTAAATAATCTAATACCAAGGTCGGACAGTTATTCAAAGCAAAAACCTGCCAAGTGATGGTTGGTGTGTCTTCTCCGAGGATGGAGGAGGTGACAACAAGCAGCCTCCAGAAAGCTCATTGAAAAAGAGCAAAGGCAGTGGCCTCCACGCGCTCCTGGTTCTTGACGTCCTCGTGGTTGCAGGCACCAGGCTTCACCGTGGCATAACACCGATCCCACACAAGCAAGAAAACAAAACAAAAGGCCAAATAAACAATTTTAGTTTACATTTTGGCTTTAATTCTCTGTATTTTCAACTAGGAGATGAAAGACAAAAATCCCAGATCTTGCTTTTCATGTTTTCATGCATCAGAGGTAAAAGTTTATGTGGGATTTGGCCATTTGCATTTCCAGCATATTTCAGCCTGATTTATGAATATGTACAACACACTCTGAAAGGCTGGGTAAGTCCTGAGAAGCCAAAGTCCTCACAACTACAAAGCATACAACCATGGGGAGGGGGAAGAAATGAAATAATTTTATTGTGATCAGCAACTAAAAGTATTAAAAATTGTAAAAAACTTCCTTCTGGAAAGGAGACATGAAATGTCTTCGAACATTTAAATGACATTTTGTTGAAACCTGAAAAGTGTCCTGACTGAGATTTGATCTCTTGGATGAGATTTACGGTTTTGCCAGGTTTGGGATATATGTCCATGGGAAAGCTTCCAATTGTTTTGACAAGCCTTTAGATCAGATATTGTGGGGTTCAGGCTTAAATATTGCAAACAAAACACCTTTAACAGTCCAGTATCTTTTCAATTTGGATTTTTTTAATCTAGAGAAGTGAAAATTTAATTAAAAAACATCGACCTTCAAATAGGTAAAATGCACCTAAAGAGAAAAGGGTGAAAATAACTCCCCATGGCCAGGAGGGACAGGGCAAGAACTAATGGGCTTGAACGGCAACAGTGAAAAATGAGGGTAGATATTATGAAAAGCCTTTTCCATGGTGACACTAATTTCAATAGTGAGTCTCATTAAGCATGAGAAGAGATCGCCTAGGGAAACATCTGTTGTGAAGATGTTGGGCTGTGGTGGTGGTGGTGCTGAGGGTGCAGAGGAAGCTCCAGCTAGTGTGTTTTTGGATGCTCTGGGTGAGCAGTGGTGCCCGTGGCCAAGGAGGAGGTGGCACGGAGCGAGGGCTGGCATGGAGAATGGAGGCAGCAGCAGGGACCTTGCAGCTGTGTGGGAAACAAGCTGCGGTGCTCATGGGGACAAGTGTCGCAATGTGGAGCGATAAGGAGACCAGGGCCATAGTAGGGATCTCAGGAGCAGGAGGTGTGTGTGTCATAAGGAGAATACAGAAATGGCAGGAGAGAAAAGAGCAATGGTAGCTACTCTAAAATGGCTGAGGAACTCTTTCTAGACCTCTCAGGGCATGATGATTTCTGTGGTCTGTTGCTCTTAATTTTTGCAAATACATCTATCATCTATGAGGAACCACGGAGTCTTTCAAGACCTTCCCTGTGAGGTTTGGTCATTTGTTTTACCTTTACTGCTAGACTTACCCACCCTTTCCAGTTTAACTCCATTAAAATGCCATGCTGTAGCCACACACACACAGAGGTGTGCCCAACACTCATACAAAACAGAGATACCTCACACCTCTTCACAGCAGTGTGCAGGAGTGTTTCAAAATACAATTGATGGGCAGAAAGTCAAATACTGGAGGGAAAGCTTTCTCTCTGATACCATGGAGAAACACTCTGTCTGTAGAGGACAGTTCTTCCTCGCTGGCATGTAGGAGAAGCTCCCGTCGCCTTTCCTGGAGTCCTCCGCTTTGGTGAAGCTATGGGAACAGCAGCAGATGCAGGACCTGGTTGGATGGGAGAGGATGCTCAGCCATCAACCAGCCATCTGCTTTGGAGGGAGCACAGGGGCGGGGGAAATGCAGGCAGACAGGTCCTTACGAGTCCCCTGAACAGCATGGGTCATTTTGCTTTTGTGTGTGACACGCAAAGGAAAGTAATGGAAACCAAAAGAAAAAGCGTTTCCGAATCAAGAGTCAGCAATCTGGCTTCCTAGAGGCAGATATTTTCTGTAAATTTGCATGTGCAGAAAGAAAAAGAATTAGCTGATTCCTTTTGAAGTCTATATTAAGATATTTAGAAATTCCCTAGGTAGTGCAGCAGGGGCTCAGTCCATCACTTGGCGAATTTTTAATCCAATAGACCACACTCTTCAACACAGTAAAACATTCTTTTGTATTTTAATCACAGAAACATTAATTTGAAAGACAAAATAGAATTATTGCTTTGTAAACATTCTTTCCTTTGATTTTAAATTACCCCCCTCACATAACAGATTACTTCAGCTTGGAAATCTCTGCATTTTATAAATAAGCACAGATCCATTACTGTTTCAATGAGAAATTTAGCACTAAAAGCAAAGCTCAAAATAATTAGAATATTGTATAGCCACAATTCCAGATGCCATGGTAAGATCAATTTTTACATTTCCTTTTCAGACATGACCTACTACTTTTCCCAAAATTAAATCTTCTTCCCATTTAATAAACTTTGAAATATTTATTGATGCCTCATTCATATTTTTAATCCAGTTCACAAAATGTTGAGGCATCTGATAAATGGTCTCAGAAGGATGTGAGAAGGGAAATAAAGAGGAGAAAAATGATATAATGATTGTACCAAACAACTCGTGACGTGAAGGTTGAAATTATTTCTTAATTATTTCAGAGCTGTTAGGCTTACAAAGTTATCCTAAAGCATTGTGACAGGCTACGATTCATTGTAGATAAAGATATCACAGCTTCGTACAACTGGCACATACGTGACTGTCGTCAGTGAAGCATTTTTGGTTTGCCCTGTAATCATTTAGCAGCTGATGCTGACCTTTGATCTCGCATTATCCCACGCAAAAGTGGCTTCTTCAGTGCAGGTCTCGCAAGAAAACCGGCAACGAAAACGACAGCTGCCAGGATGGTGGCAGCAGCAACAAGTGGTGTGAGAGTGTTATCGGCAGCAGTGGGAACTGCCTGGGGAGGAGGCACAGAAGAGCCCAACACTGCGGGCAAAGGCAGAGGGGGTTCGGTCTCGATATATTAATGATCAGGGCACAAAGAGCTGATGGGTTAAAAGGCATGGTTCCGAGATCAGAGTCAGAAATAACCTCCCTTCTTACAGTTTCATTGCTTTAAACTATTTGAACAGACCTTATATTAACAGGGATGACAACTTAACTACGCAAACTTCATAAGCAGAACCCAGCTGAGGGAATTAATTGTTTCTCAAGGAGGCTGGGAGTTTGCTACCCGCTGGCCATCTTGTTACACAATCAGACTGGAGTTATAGTACTAAAATGGGTTACGTGCTACCTCTCCTCTGGGACAGCCAAAGCAGTTACACTTTGTATACATGCAGGTGACAACAGGGGGTTTGCAAGTTGCTGAAAGAAGAGATTTGTAGACATTTGGGTCAGCCAGACAATCCTTTCCTTCTTATGGTGAAGTGCGCAAAAGCAGATTCCAGTGACAGATGTCAGAAACGCAGAGCTATGGCTTTTCATGAAGCCCTAAGCAGTCTTAGAGTAAATATGAGAGATATTTATTTGCCTTTACCAGTATTCCTACTCTGAGCACCCCCTTCTCGAAGCTGAAGTGGTCCAACAACCACGTTCACTTTTTCCTCGGCAGGACTCGTATCTCTCTTGGACCTGCTAATGCAGCCCTGGTAGCAGCGGGAGGAATAGTCACGGAGCCTGCACACCACCAGCTCACACTGCAGGTAGACTAACGGATGGCGGCTAATGAACTCAAAGGCATTAAATTTGAACCGAGCAAAGTGGCTGTCAGGGAAGGAATATGTGGCATAGGAAGAATCTCCACATCTAGAAAGAAATGAAAAAGAGAGTTAGTCTTCAGGGATACAATAGATTAAACCAAAATTATATCAGAGCCAGGTACTAAGAAAACAATGGAATAAAAATGCAACTTTTATAGCATAGTACAGACTTTTTAAGTATAGACTTATTTAAGTCCTACGTAGCAGCTAGAGCATTGGCAATTCTTTTTTTTTTTTTTTTCCCCCCAAGAGATGTGGAAGAGTGGTGAAGAGGGGAGAACAGACTCTTTACTACATGTCTGTGCTACACAAAGAATGAAAAAATGCATCTAATGCTCAACCTCATTTCACTAAAATATTTAATGCGTAAGACGATAGAT